GGGGAGGGAAGAAAAAATAACCACACCATAGGATTTTTAGGGTTTTTTTTAATGTGCCTGTCCTTTTAATTCTTAGCCATAAGGCCATCAGTGGCAGAATCCAACCATTTCCTACATTGGCTAACATTGTATTCTGGCTACTAGATTAGTCTAACATTTTGTAGTTTATATTTGCACTGTTAACGATGTGTGCTGCTGGTATTTGAAGAACATTTGCCTCTGTTCTTTCACTTTAACTTCATACGAGCATTTTTTTACTCTGTGCCAGGCATTCATTGCTTTTCTTACAAATACAAGTCATTTCTTGAGGCAGCTGTTTTTTGAGTTTTCTTTCTCCATTATCCCATCCCCTCTGAGCAAGCATTCTGGACTTGGTGGTAAGTATACAGGTCTTGGCAATACTCGCCTCCAAAACTGTGTTCGATCAGTCTTTGCCTGGTGTTTCTGGCATGCCAGCCTGAGGTGTTGGGGTTAGCCTGTACTGGATCATGATCATTCTTATCCTCTGTGGGTCTGACAAGCTCACTTTCTAAGACCCTCGGTGGAGCTAATCCACATGTCTTGGCTATGTCGTACAATAAGTAATGTTGCCAGGATCATACCTCATATTTATCTTTTGGGGCCTGTATAGTGATGTGCCACCAGATCTATCTAGGCACCTGACTCTCATTTTCAAAGTTCCTTTTATGATGGATCTGGTGGTTTGATGGGCAGCATTATAATTTTTCCTCTGAGAGAGTCTGGGGATTCGAAACAGGAGTCACTAAGCAATGTGTTCCACGGGGATAAGAGCCATCTCCTGCAACAAATCTATTAGGAGGAGACTGTCCCCTGTAATTATCACAGATTTTAATTATTTACGAAAAAGAAAAAAAAAAAAAAAAAGCCTAGCAGCCAGACCTCTTGAGAATGTAAAAGTCATGACATGCTGTTGGGTACTGTGCTACTATGTCTGTGATTAAGAGCTTTTCATCAGAGACGACCTACATGTTGATAAAATGCAACTACTTCCTGTGCCTTTAGGCCATCTAATTTCCTGAGGGCTGGCACCCTGAGCAGAGCATGGGTGCAATTGGTAACCCGCAGGGCAGATGGAAACGCACTTTGCAATAAATTACTTTATATCTGTTGGTGCTGCCTCTCTCGGGGGAATTTAATATAGTGGCACTCAAATTGCTATATGCATGCAGAGGCATCAGACTGGCTTATACATGTGGTATCCCTGACAGTTCTCTGAAAGGATGCTGTTACCAGGAGCCCCTTGAGCGGTGGTAACTAGTTATCACAGGTGTAGCATGGCTCCTGTGTTTGACTCTCAACATGCCGTTGTAACTTCTCGTAAAGGTTCAGAAGAGTTTATATGGCAAAGCAGTGATGAATTCCTCCTCTGGCAAATAGTAGAGAATAATTATAGGCCTAAAAATCCTCTTCCGTGATTACAACTGAGCTGCGCTCTCTGTCCAGTGAGCCATAGACTCTTTTTCCCTGTTTTTCTGCAAGACTGAAGTTATTCAAAGTAAAGCAGATAATATTTTGTTATTCTACCACTCAGCCACAAATTGCTCCCTTACAGGTGTGTGTGCGTGCGTGCTTGTGGCTGTACTTCGCTAAATGACTGGTTTAACGATGAAATGCAGCTGGCATGGCCAACCTCCAGTGTAGGCTTTTTCCACTGCAGAATATTTCTTCCCTTCTACCTACATCCAGCTGTGGTCCTTTTAAGAATACCATTGGAGGCGTGCTTCTTTGGCCACACTGTCGACACACCTCACACCAGGTGCAAATTTTTGCACCCACTCTGTGGCTTTTTTATATCTCTTTCGGTAAAACTGTTTGTAAAGGTGTCCTCAGAGAATTCCCAACACAAGCTTGTAAGATTCCCCTCTCATTGGTACAAGAAATGCATGCTGCAGAGTATTTAAGATCACAAGGAGGTTGGGAGAGAAGCTGATTAGTAAGCCTGACAAATTATTCCAGTATGTGCGGCCTTTTGAACATGTGTTTCTGGTGCATACATGGTTTGCACACTGGGACTGTGGATATGAACAGCCTAGCTAAAGGCAAAGGCAAGTGAAAGTTTGTCCCAATATGCTTACGTCTTATTTCTTTGGGATGAGTTTGAATGAAGCTAAATGCAATTCAGCCAGTTAATTTTCTTGGCCTGATTAGCACGTTTGATAATACAGTGAGAATGTTTTTATTTTACATAGTGCTTTCACTTCAAAAGTGTGGTGCAGTTGCGGCCAGATGCTAAGATTTCGATGTATTCTGCAGGACCCGCCATGTAGCTGCTGCCATTTAGAATAAATCTTGTTGCACATACTGGCTGCTTCTGCAGCTTCAAATTTTTTGTTGTAGTTTTAAAATGACAACCTCCACTCTACCTTTGCTTTCTGATCAAAGGCAGTAGAGCAAAAGAAGAAGCTGCGCAGATGTAGCTGTGCTGCCGTTGGAAATACTACACGGGGAACCCCTAAAGAGTTCCTTGCAAAGCAGCTAAGCTTTAACCTGCTCTCCTCTCCCATTTCTAAGTGCTTTAGCTAGTCTTGGCAAGGCATAAAGCACCACTTGAATGGGAGCAGCTATAGGGTAAGAAGGACTGAGAACCTGTCTACAGATACGAAACCTGCAATGAGTTTACACAAAGCAAAGTTTTTCCCAACTGGAAGTAGTAGATGGTATTAAGAATTGGTACCAACTGATATTTTGGTCAGATCCAAAATTAGGATCTGAATTCTAGTATTGTCTAGCAAAATCAGTGCAGTTGGAGGGTATGTATGTTTCATCCCCAAACAAATATTTTCATGCTTTTCAAGTGTCTGTCATAGCCTCATCACTCTTTCCCTGTAGCTTTTTGTTGTCTGAACGGGTATATGGTTACATGTGTCTGTTAAAAATAAAGGGGATCAGTTCTTACATGGTTTATTTATATTTCTTATTTACAGATTTTGAGTGCCTAGTGCTTCAGTTTCCAAAGCTTCCTTCTTTCTGTATCCCAAAGACCAGTTGTTTGGCTTCTGGGATGATGAAAAGGGTGGGAGAGACTTAACAGGAAATCTCTGCCCAGTTGAAGCTCTTGGCGATAGATCCCCTGAGTACGATTCTACAGTCTAGCCATATTTTTGCTGTATAGGTCAAATGTTCATGGTTACACCATTGCTTTCTGATGCCTTTTGCTGAGCAGAAGTGCAGATATTTTTCTTTCAGAAGTTCACAGTTTGTATTACAAAGTCTTATGAAATGTGACTTGAAGTTTGTTTTATTTTTGAATACATGTGATGATCTTAAGAATTTTTTTCCTTTTCTCCTTCCACTGGATGATTTAAAACCCACAAAAATAAAGCAGACCAATGAAAAGAATTGAATGCTAACTTCCACTGAAAAGAAACAGCAACACTACTCTTGTGAGACAGTTTTCAACAGTGTTCAGCTTACTGATTTGCTCAACCTTACCTTTCCTGCCTGCTCCCTGACCCTCTGTGACACTGAAATATCCACTTCTAGGACAACCTTCTTCCTAACCAGAAGGCTAAAAGTTCTTCCCTCTCTTCTTCTCCCATTTAAAATATCATCCTTGCATCAGCCAGATCTACTGTTTAGAGGGATCAAAAGCTCTTTTCCTCCTGCCTTATTCCCATCCATATCCATATCCAGGGCCCTGAGTGCGCTGCTCTCCAGTGAGAGGTAAAACTTAAATCCCTAAATATGATATTTGACATAGTAACACCATCTCTAGACCACCAGAAACCTGTTTTTTTCAAGTCTGTATTATCTTAATGAAGTAGCTATCCTTGTTTGCTGAAGCAAATAATCAATCATTTGGGAGATGGATCTAACTGCTTGAAAAGTAACACTGCTCTGACACGCATTGTGGAAGCCTAGGAGCCAGGCTAAGGTATTTCACTCACATAAATACCACAAGCTATATAACTAGTCCTTACTTTGGTGAAACTTCAAAGGAAAAGACACTAAATTAACATGATACAGGAAAGCAAATGCAGTGGAAGGCATAGTAAGGAAACCTGTTGGTATGATTCAAGTTTGGATTCTAGTACAGATTGAAAAATTGAACTTTTCTGCTGGCTTAGGCTAGTCATTTAATTTCTCCATGCCTTAGTTTCACAGTAGTAGAAGTGGTAATAAAGGAGCTGTCAGGCTATAATTAGTTGAATATACGGTGCTTTGAGGTCTTCAGTCTGAGGGAATAACATTATGTATTGAATGCTGATGAACCTTATTTGTGAGCAAAGTTGGAGACGGGGCTAAAACTAACACTAAGCTTCGGAAGATCTTGATTAAAGTTTTCCCTAGGTTTTATCATCACGTCATATGGTAGATCAGAATCCCAAATCCAAATGTTGAAGTTTTCTCATTCAGATTTGTACGTTGCCTATTTGGTCTGTTTCTGACCAGAACTAAATACATTCCCAGACTGTCCACTTGTTAAAATATAAAATACATATAAAAGTTTCATTTAAACAAATGATGCAGTTACTAATGCTAATCTAATAATCCAAGACTGTGAATAAATTAGGATGTGATTACTTAAGGAGAATAGGCATAAAAGAGCACTTCTGGAGTACTTGTTATTGTCCAAGATATCACTAAAATTCTGATGACTAAGTACAGTCTGCTTATCTCTATTTAAAACAGTGCTGTACAGATTCATTATTTCTAAAGGTCTTCTTTCCATTTCTATATAGATATTCTCCCTTCACATTTTGAAGGTTTGAAGAAGAGGATTGTTTTTCGAGTCACACTAAGTAAACATTAAATGCATGCAGGCTTAAAACTAAAGCATGCATGTTATGTAGCAGCAATAAAAAGTGCTCGGCTTGCACGAATTATGATGCTCAAGCGTTGCCTTGTTAAAATGCCAAAAAAAAACTTTTTCTTTGCATTTTTTTGAAAAGTAAATCTCTTCCTTTGACCTTGCAATACTTACATTTTCAGTTTTTGGACAAATTGTATTTATTTTACTGAATACTTTTATATTACAGATAAGGTGGATGAAATAGTACCAGTTTCCAAGCCATCAAGAATTGCAGACAATGCAACTGTGGACTCCAGAGTGGCAACTATTAAACAGCGGCCTTCTAGTAGATGTTTTCCCTCAGCTACAGATATGAATGTGAGTGGTAGCTATGAAGTACTACTTTCATTTCTGAAACTGATTGGAGGGGTCTTTTGGCAGTGTGCAAGGCATACAGCAGAAATAAATATACAAACATTGATTTATATACTCTTTACTTTTATTATCTTGTAACTTTAAGGCACGGTTTACTCTGCATTTCTAATAATAGTTTTTTAACAGAAGAGTCTACATATCCCTATATGACTTTTCTGATTGTATCCTTATATTTATTCTGAGGCCGTCACATCAACAATATTGCCACCTCAGTGTTACTCAAACAGATGTGAACTTGTTCTGCCTGTAGTCTGAGCGGGTGAGATTCCAGTAAATTCTGAACTTGAAGGTGTCAGTACAACACTAAACCCAAGCTAAAAAACTTTGCTGAGTCAAGGTATGCTATTTCAGTTTCAACACCAGAGTTTGTGCAGCCACACAATCTCCACTAATGTGAAGGTTTCCTCTACTGCAGGTTTTTATTATTCCTCGTGACACGTATAATATCTTGATTAAATAATACATGATGATTTGTAAGGGAAGAATTGACATTAATACTATAGTGTGTATTAAAAATTTAAATTCCAGACCTCTGAAAATGGATTACTCAATTGCAGAATTTGCTCCTGCAGAAGATTGCATGTGAAAAAATAATTGGTTTTATTACATTTTAGATGTATTGTTCCATTACAAGCCCTCTGAAAGAGCGTGAGTCCTGATACAACAAGCACTTTGCTGTTCTCATCAGCTTGGGATGGAAAGAAGTTAAGGCTGTTCTAAGAGGCAGGAAACAACTAGTTTTGTGATGACCTCCAAGAAGGAGGGACAGTTGAGTGCATTGGGATTCAGGTGGTGTTGCTCAGTTCCTCCCTGACTGCCAGTGTAACCTTGCACAAGACACCTTGAGTCTGTGCAAGAGCAGGTCTGTTCTTCAGAAGTGAGGAGGGCCTACAGCTTGGAGTAGAGCAAACACTAAGAGCTCTGTGGTGTGTGGCTGGGCTTTTGGAAGTGAATGAAACGAAGTGCAATTGCTCACGCTTCACTTTTCTTACAGCACACAAAATGTGCTGGAAACTCATCACCCCGCCTTGTAAATAATTTCCACTAACACCACTTACAGCTGTTGTCATTTTAATAACATTTTAATAACATAATAAAGCGCAGCCTTCCCTTTCTCTTCATCTCCCCCCCAAAATAATACCAAATCTGTTATTTTCCGTAAGAACTCTAAGTAAAGGGGATAGTGGATTAGCAGATATGACAGAAGAGTTATTTACATGTGAGAGAAAGACTTGCATGCTTTAATGCTTGTGGGGTTTTTTGTTTGCTTTTTTGTAGTCCATGTATGAGAGACAGGGTATTGCTGTGATGACGCCCACTGTACCAGGGAGTCCTCAAGGTCCTTTTCTGGGTATACCTCGGGGTACAATGAGAAGACAAAAATCTATAGGTAAAATGCTTCTCATGTATAGTTTGCTTGTGCATTAATCACATACTTTCAGTAACTATGATTCTTTCTTAAAGCATATTTCTCCAACATCTTTACCTCAATGAATGACTGTTTAATTTTTATACAAAGTTCATGAGAAAATAAGTTTGTGTGTAAGATGGTATGATTTCCACATTCTGCTTTGATGGCAGTAGGCAAGTATTACGGAATTATAATTTAATTCCTTTCTTTAGAATGTTCCCTCTAACAAGGAAAGGCAGGGAGAAGGGAAAACAAAAGACCAGTACAAGCCCTTTGCAATGTATTACCTAGGGCAAAATGTTATTTCTTTTCTCTTTGTTATTGAGGCAAAAGCATTGTAATGCTGTGTAGTTTACAAATGAATCCCTGTCGATCAAATGGACTAAAATTTACCTCTTCTTCATTTCAAATGGTAACAATAGATGATTTTACAAAAGAGAAAAAAAGAACAGAACAGATTTGGGGCTTGCTTTGTTATTGGTAGTAATCTTAGTAGTGATATTTATCAATTTAGAAACACATTATGCTGATGTAAAATTAGCATCTAAATATCACCCAGTTTATTTATGTTAAAAGCCGTATTTGTAATAATATAATGTAATATTTTGAAATGAAACGTTATTATTTTTTCCCCAATAGAATCTTTGCAGTCCCTTTGCTAAGTTTCAAATGCATCTTAAAAATTCATTAGGTTTCTAAGTTGCATTATTATATGCATTTATAGAGTGCTAGAGCTAGGCATAAGCTACTCTTCTGCACAGAATGTCTTCCCTGTTCAATAATTTTCAAAGAAAATGTGCTTCTCTACAGCTACCTCGATGATACATAAAACGAAAACATTTGCCTACACATCAGTGATCAGTTTAATTAAAATTCCGTAGCATCCTTTTTAATTCTGGCATCTGGGTCCCTGGAAGTTCAACAAGAAAGAATGCTTATGGTAGGAATCAACCAAAAGACCTCTTTCTTAATGTTGCATATGCCTCATGTCATGTGAAATACACCCTGGCATATTAGGTCGGATACAGAAATAATACAGTATGAGGGATCCCGGTGGAAGACAGTGTTTTAAATATACTTTCTGATTTTTAGGAATAACAGAGGAAGAACGGCAGTTTTTGGCTCCTCCTATGCTGAAGTTTACCAGAAGTCTTTCAATGCCTGACACCTCTGAAGATATCCCACCACCACCACAGTCCTTACCTCCTTCACCACCACCACCTTCTCCCTCTCTGTACAACTCTCCCAAATCCCCGACATCCAGGAGCTATGGAACTATTAAACCTCCATTTAATCAGAATTCAGGTTCAAAAATTTCTTTGGTTAGGCCTGAGAATGTGGGAACAATGATAAGGGACAAAGGGATCTATTACAGACGAGAACTGGACCGATACTCTTTGGACTCTGAAGACCTGTACAGTCGTGCCGCATCTCAGGCAAATTTCAGGAACAAGAGGGGTCAGATGCCAGAAAACCCATATTCTGAGGTTGGGAAGATTGCAAGCAAAGCAGTTTATGTGCCAGCCAAGCCAGCAAGGAGGAAGGGGATGCTAGTGAAACAATCCAATGTTGAAGACAGTCCGGAAAAGACCTGCTCTATTCCAATCCCGACAATTATTGTGAAAGAGCCATCCACCAGCAGCAGTGGGAAAAGCAGCCAAGGGAGCAGCATGGAAATCGATCCTCAGTCTTCAGAGCAACCTGGGCAACTCCGACCCGACGATAGCTTAGGTGTCAGCAGCCCGTTTGCAGCAGCCATTGCTGGAGCAGTGAGGGACAGGGAAAAGAGGCTAGAAGCAAGGCGTAATTCTCCAGCCTTCCTTTCCACAGACCTAGGAGATGAGGATGTTGGACTAACACCACCAACACCACGTATGAGGCAATCTAAATTCACCGATGAAGCAATGTTTAGTAGTGAAGATGGTTTTAGACAGCTTATGTCACCATCTCCGATTCCCGCACCTAGAGAGCCTGAAAATCTTTTTAACAGCAGTGAACCCAGCAATCAAAGCGATTCAAGGACATTAAATGCTTCGTCCAAAACGAAAGGTACTGAAAACAGTACAGTGGCAGCTAAGTCCACAAATGCCTCCAGCTCAGATAATTACGTTCACCCGGTCACAGGAAAGCTGTTAGACCCAAACTCACCACTAGCCCTCGCTCTCTCTGCCAGGGACAGAGCCATGAAAGAACAAACACAGCAGATTCCAGGCAAAGGAGACACTGTTAAAGCTGACCTTAATAAACCACTTTACATCGATACAAAGCTGAGACCCAATATCGAAACGACTTTTCCTGTTACTGCTACTGTCACTAGGCAAAGTACTCGTGGCCCATTGAGACGGCAGGAGACCGAGAACAAGTATGAAACAGATGCAGGGAAAGAAAAGAAAGCTGAGGAAAAGAAAAACATGTTGATAAACATTGTGGATACTTCGCAGCAAAAGTCAGCTGGCTTGTTAATGGTTCATACGGTGGACACAGCAAAGTCGGACGATACGCCTGAAGATGAAGAGGAAAAGATAGCTGAAATGGAACCTAACCCTGAAAACTCCCCACCAGAGAGACCAGAGGGGAGCGAGGAAGCAGAAAGTGAGCTGAACGTACCTGCTGCGCCTGAGCCACCGGCATCTCCCTGCAAAACCATCGTAGCAGCGAGCTCTGTCGACGACCCTGTCATCTTGCCATTCCGCATCCCTCCTCCTCCCTTAGCATCAGTTGATATTGATGAAGAGTTTATGTTTACTGAGCCACTACCACCCCCCTTAGAGTTCGCCAACAGCTTTGATATCCCCGATGACCGTGCAGCTCCTGGTTCGGCTCTAACGGACTTGGCTAAGCAAAGAAAAAATGGCACACCTTCACCCGCGCCATTTGCCCCCAGCCAGTCAACAAATTCCTTAGACAGTAAAAAGCAAGTGGGTCTTTCAAACTGTTTGCCTGCCTCCTTTCTGCCACCCCCTGACAGCTTTGATAACGTCACTGACTCTGGGATTGAGGAGGTAGACAGTCGAAGTAGTAGTGACCATCACTTAGAGACAACCAGCACTATCTCAACAGTGTCCAGCATCTCTACCTTATCCTCGGAAGGGGGTGAGAACGTGGATACTTGTACAGTCTATGCAGATGGGCAAACATTTCTGGTGGACAAACCCCCAGTACCTCCTAAGCCAAAAATGAAGCCCATAATCAACAAAAGCAATGCACTTTACAAGGACGCGCTAATTGAAGAAACTGTAGACAGCTTTGTTATTCCTCCTCCCGCTCCGCCCCCACCTCCGATCAGTGCACAGCCCAATATGGCTAAAGTTGTTCCCCAAAGGACATCTAAGCTATGGGGTGATGTGACGGAGGTGAAAAGCCCAATTCTCTCAGGCCCAAAGGCTAATGTTATTAGTGAATTGAACTCAATACTCCAGCAAATGAACAGAGAGAAATCCTCAAAGCCAGGGGAAGGATTGGAGTCACCTACTGGAACAAAAACTGCAAGTCTCAGTACAAGGTAAATGTAATTAACCAAATCATTTTCTAATAAAGGCTTGATTATTTCCATCCCTTCACCAGCTTTCCCTCTAAATCACATAGATTAAGGAAGAATATACTGTGTATTGTACATGTTTGCTTAACGAATGCATTGTCTATGACAAACAGTTTTACAGAGGGGAAGAATTTCCTACATCATCAACATTTCTGTAGTCTACACCATAGGACAGGAGCTTTCTCAGTCCTCTCCAAATTCAAAGACAGTTTCCACAAACCTTTCAGTTCTTTTGATGTGAGTTACTTAGATTTATCTTTAAGTAGTACTTTTCTCTTTCAAAAAAAATTTTCTTTTAAAGCGAGGTGATCATTTAATTCTTTTTCAGTCACATAATTTATTTTGGCTTCAGACAGGTTGAAAAAGTGGTTTTGCCTAGACTTGCTTCACATTCACTGTGTGATGTCATTTGATTCATGCTGATGCCTCTCATAATTCACTCTATCATGAAGTATAAAGCTGTCTTAGAAAATCACTCACTGAAATCACTTTGCACTATGCATGTTATTACTAAAAAGTTAATTTAGCATCCCTACCACTTAGTATTATAAGTTTTAAGTTATTAACTTTCTGTTGTGCACACTTGTTAGTGAATAGTCTCTGATGTTTACAGGTTCAAGGGGGTGGCTTATTTCTCCCAACAGCAGCATCCCTGGTAGCACAGTGTTACACATTTGCACATAAGTGGTTTCTGAAAGGTACTTGGTGATAAGTAACTTACAGCAGTCAGACACCATTGGGTAAATGTATAAGTAATTGTGTAGTCACATTTGTGTGAAATATGGATATAATACCATGAAATCCACAGTTATGGGGGAAAAAAAAAAAAAAAAAGAAAAAAAAAAAAGAAGGTAATTTTGTGACTTCTATTGAGAGCCTGAGGTAATTCTTTTTGTGGTGTGGAATAGTTTGGTTTTACATACAGCAGTTAAATGTACCTTTTACTGAAGTATTGCGCATTGTTTGGCCTGGACTACTCCATAGAAATGCATTTTTTTTCCGAAATGCAGTGCTGAGTTTGTTTTAAAAAAAAAAAAAAAAGATACCATCCAAGTAAATTTCATTAGAACTATTCTGCTGGGTAATAAATAACTTGGCCTTTGAAAAGTTCTTTGCATGCATGAAGATAATTTGGTTTTAGGGGAAGGGTGGCCCTGCTAATTGCAAATGATTGCAAATGCAAAAATCATTCAGAAAACAGTGTGATCAAAAGCCTCAGCATCAGGCAATTATATTATTTCCTGCAAGATGGAAGTCATCAAACTGGTGACAGGGAGGTAGGGAGGTTATACAATTTTTAGAATGAAGAGATGGAAGAAAAACACTGAAATTCAGGAATTCCTGTCAGCAGCACTTGACTAAATGGCGTAGAGATTGAGTTGTCTGTATGGCAAAGCCTTAACACATGAAAAAAGAAACAGTGAAAACTGTACAAGAAAAACAATATATACTGGCTGCCTGATGTCAGTCTTTAAACAAAGTTAGCACAGCAGCTGAACACTGTACATTTGAGAATACCTCAGGCAAGCATGAAATCAATACTTGTGCTCTAAGCTTGACTTTACATAGGCCTTGTCTTACAGATGACTCTGACAGTTTCGTTTCATATTATTTTTCTTATGTCTTCAAGAATACTATTTTTGCTAGACCTTGATCGTCTTGCTTGTTAAGCCATGTGAACATGTTGCCTCTACCTTCATATGTACAATATCATTTATCATCTTTTATATTTAAACTGATAGTTATTTCCAGGTTACAGTAGAGATGTTTAGCGTCCCTGTTTTATTAGAAAGTAGCTGAGGTTGGCAACTACAATGTACTGTAAATATATCAAAGTCCTGTCATTGCTGAGAGGAAAATGGAAAGTAGAAGCAAATAGAGATACGTTTTTCTGTGAAAAGACATTTAAACAGGTATGAAGGTTGGAAGAAAATTGAAAAACTACTCTACCACTCCAATGGAGAAAAGCAAACTATCATGTAAGCAAGAATATTCCCATATATGTTACATTTTAGAGAAAGATCTGACTTGGAGAGTGTTATAAAGTTATGTTGCTTTTCTGTCTTTAACTTTTTTGATTCTTAGAACTCAGCTTTGGCAAATTACATAGTCTTTATTATGGAATACAGAGACGCAATTTGGACACATAACCACGAAAAGAATTATTTCAATGTGGCTGAAATCCTACTTCTTTCCTGAAAAGTAAACCCAAGCAGGTGTCTTTGCAAACTAGAGAGAGGATTTTGGGATATAGCAATGCCAAAAGACCTACAAGGTAATAAATAAGAAAAGTTGACAGTGGCATAGAGCAGCAAAACTCTTGGCCGCTGTTTGTCTGTGGAAGAAAGTGACACCTCCACAGAACTCCCGGTGGGAATGGAAGGTAAGAGGGCTGTATTTTGTTTCCTTTTGTTTTCAAAACTGATGTGATTACATTATTTTTTTAAGTGAGATAAAGACAGTAAAAAGATCAGAAAAAGTTACTGAGGATTTCTTTCTTAGGCTGAGTAATAAATCAGCGACAGCAGAAGAGAGCCAATCATCTAGAGCTATTAAAAGTATGCTTTAAAAGGTGCTGCAGGCAATTCCTTTTCCTCTTAACAGTAATGAGGTAGAGAGATGTAAGTGGAGAAGTTCACTTGTAGACTCAGAACTGCTACTTGCAAAGCAGCGGTGGTTTATTGGGTGGTGTCTGTCTGTCCATGCCCGTGCCCAGTTCCCGACTGCCCCTGGAGCAAGGCTGCCACCTTTTTCTCTTTCTGAGCTTAACCAGCTCCACGTGCCGGGGAGGATGAGTGGGGATTGATTTCTGAGCTTGATAAAAAGTGCGAAAGAGGGAGCAAGAGGCTAATAGCAAAATTTATCACAGTGGAGAAAATGCTCCGATTTCTTTTTGTTGTGCTATGTATGTTTATACTCTGAACTGTCTGCATTAAATTTCATTTCTGTTCTCAAAGGTGCCTACATAAAAGCGATGGATGCATGGTAAATGCTTCCCAGACAAAGGCATTTTTATTACTGCTTTTACTGCCTGATCTTTTAAAGAGCTAAATAAATGACAGCCTTTGTAGCCCAATTGCACAACTGACACAATTTTTTACAATCCTGTCAAATATTATGACCAAGGAATACCATCTTGCCAAAATTCTAAGTATTAAAGCTAATATTTGAATTTTAAAGCTAGAATTCTTGGAGTTTCTTGGTTTTTTTCTGATACTATAAAGCCTAGGAAAACCAACTGTAGCGCTTGTAGTCCTGTGAGGTAGCATTAGAAAGGGAGCAAGGAGTCTTAGCTCACAGAAAGCAGGTATTCTGCTAAATTAAAGAACAACTCGTTAGCTCTGCTAAAGGAGGAGTGATAAAAAAGGAGTACGCCTGTTCATATCCTTCAGCCAAAGAGACGTATTGGGAAGCGTTATAAATAGGAACATTGTTCACAGGCTCACTTGGGTTATTCTCACAGCACTAGCAGCTTGATTAAATTAAAAATATGTATTTGCTCATTGGGACACACATGAAGTTGTGGCCCAGATAGCAATCCTGAATATCACTAGGAGTTACTTTCGCATAGCCAGTAGACATACAATTGTAGTTCACTGGTGGCAATTGCCCCGTTAGGACAGCATAGAGTTGAATTAAATTGTAGATAGTTGGGTAATGGCTTGCTACAGAAACCCATAAAAATATCTTCTTTATATATTTTTGATAAATGAGGATTAGGAAGAGATTGTTCTACAGTACTGAGCAGCATTTTTCTCTCAATTATTACATTAGTAAATGACCCCAGACTTGCTTTTTTTTCTCTGCACACTGGTTTAGTATTAATATTACACAGTTTATTTATAGTTTTCTGTGATTCTTACAGAGACATCAAGCTACAAGATTTTTAAATAGAGCATGGAAACGTTTGGCTGGAAACCATCTGCTTCTCAGTGGCAGTGACCAGCCGTGGGATAGGAAAAAGGAGACTGGTAGGGGAAGGAAAAAGGGAAGAAGCAAAAGGATGTGGTTGCTCACTTTGTATTAATAAAAGCGTAATTAAAGGGTTTGATGAGAAGGTTCTGGAACAGAACTCCAGATCCCACTCCCAGTTTTGGCCATCATTTATTTTAAGAAGTTCTGGAGATCAGTCCTGGTGATAGAGATTTTTATCTGATCTATCCTTTTAGCTGGGCCACAACATCCGCCCATCACTTCCTCCACTTTTGCCCATCCTTCCTTACAGAAACGGTCGAGGGTGTTTGGGTACAGGGCATCATTTGACCCGGATAACCCAGAACTAAAGCCCCAGTGATGAGCTCTAGTTGTGATTCCCATTTCCAAATTTGGATATGCAGACACGGAGATGGGAAAACCCAGCCCGGGGAGCCCCGCGGCTTGGCAGGTGATGCTCTGCTGTCAGCGAGCGGGGCAAGGAGGGCGGGACATGTAACAGTAGTATCCACCGTGAGGCTATAAATATAGCAGTGCTATAAATTCACTTGAGAGGCTACTGACTTTTCTATGGAGCTGATAAAAGAAATGGAGAGAAGACTAATGCAGGGGTTTTTATCAGGTTAAGGGAGGAGTGCTCGCTCTGTCTGTGAACCCAGCAGTCGCTTAGCAACATAATGATCAAGTGCAAGCCTGCGAGATCGACTGAATAATGTCAGCGTGATTAACGCAGAATAGACCCAGTGGCTGCGAAGGAGAGAAAACACAGCCCCCAGTGAAAACAGCATCCTTCCACCATGGCTCCAGCGTACTAATAAGGAATAATGAACAGCAACTGCTGCTGCTCTCTGCCATCACCATACCAAAATGATCGATAGCTTTGCCATAGGGAGAAACAATTTCTGCTTCAAACGGTGCTTATGTTTCTCCAGCTGTGTTTGCACAGTGTCCCCGTGGCCGCTGGGGCAGCTTGGGCATCACTCCTGGTAGTGGGAAGTGCTCATGAGAAGTGTGGGAGTTATGGAGGATGC